ATCGCATTCTCATTTTGAAATCTTGTGTTGTGTCTCTCGTCTCGCAGTGAGTGTATCATAACTTAAACACCTCTGATTGGCCATTGCGTTCAAGAAGTCTACAGATATGTCTGTGATTGGCTACATTGCTCAACGCTATAGAAACACATTGAAAACACAACTTTTGATGCTCTCCAGAGTGCAAACACAAATATATGCTGGATCGTTTGTCAAATCTGTTTTGCATACACTGTAAAAAATTACCGTGAATTTAACGGTAAAAGACTGTAAAAATGCTACAGTAAAAACCTGTTAAATGGTTAACGGTAAATTCCCCTACTATATACGGTGAAAAACTGTATTGGACATTACATGTATTGGACATTAATTTTACGGTAGTATACCGTTTTTGGAAGTGAAAAAGACCGTATAATTTACAGTGAATAACCGTAAATTGACATTCCCAGAATTCCCTGCGTCACATTTCAAATTTGATGTTTTTTTTGTTGAAATAACTGTTTCTTCTTAGTTTGTTCTTATCAGTTTTGTATATTAGGGTTGTGTGTTACACCTAATGTTGTTAAATGAATGTTTATTGCATTATTTCAGTTTCATGAGTGTTACCATGATGGTGTTTAGCATTTGTGTGAATGATACTATCAGTTAATGAAATTACGGTATTTAACTGTAAATTTAAGTTAATTTAAAACCTAAAACGTTGCTACCGTATTTGTTACCGTAAATTTGATGGATTTTTTTTTACAGTGTATGCTATTATTACAGTTTCAACTGAGGGTGCTCTTGCTTTTGTTTGACCTGCACTGCCATAGAACTGGGCCTGTATGACAACATAAAAAAAAAAACCAGCTCAATAACCCTTTTATTTAAAGTATTAATTTACTTTCTGTAGACCCGTCTATTGCATTAAAATTGCAAGCAGTATCGATAATGTCAAAATGTGATTTGTAGTCAAATATCCTGGTGTGTTTTCTCTTTAAACAAATGTTCTAACCAATACACTTGTTTTGCTTTGTGGAGTTTTGATGTGTGATACATATATATTAGTGCTGTCAAACAATTGATCGCATCATATATTTATATATAATATAAATTATATTAATATAAATATATACATCTAAATGCATGTAAATATTTTAAAAATATATACTGTATGTGTGTGTCTTTATATATACATTATAAATATACACACATATATTCTGTAAACAAAAACTTTTATTTTGTGCTCGATTTTGTTTCTCGATATTGTTTTTGAATCACCACATTTAAGAAACACTATCAAGACCATAAAACGCATCAAAACTCCACAAAGCACAACAAGTGTATTGGTTATATATATATATATATATTCTTTTTTTTTTTTTTTCACTTGCTGTTAGTGTTTTTAAGTAATAAATGAAAAGCAAAGTTATGTTTGTATTGTTATATTCTATTTTCTCCATGGATCTCCGATTTGATTTAGTGGTTCATGATAATTCATTAAATAAATGTAACTACTCTGAGTAGTTTTTGAGAAGAGTGCTTTGTACTTTTACTTAATTATTTTTTAACACCTGTACTTTTACTTGAAATTGAGTATTATTTCAGCAATGTAACAGTACTTGTAAATGAGTACAAATTTTCAGTACTCTTTCCACCACTGATTGTTTGGCAGTTGTCTTTGATTTCTTTGATGTTATTGTTTATTCATTAACATTAATATTGTTTATTTATTATCCCTGTGATTCGTCGCTGTCAGCAGGCAACTACACAGTATTAGGGACACTGGCCCCTTAAGAAATGGTTCAGAAAACAGTGGATGTCCAAGCGAAGTAGTTTTGCCAATAATAAGACCATCTCAGAATTTGATTCTGCCTGATAGAAAGAACAGCTAGAAAACTTAGAGAAGAGACACAGCATTCTTAGTATGTTGCATTTTATTAACATCATAAAGGCAACACAAACCCCCTTTTTATTAAATGGCCATACATTATCAAAGGGACATACATAAATTCACAAACTGTAAAGCAATTTTGAGTCTTCAAATAGCTGAAACATATTTTGAGTAGGCCTATTTCACAGAGAGATGGACTCTTATTTTGACATGCTCTACATTCTCAGATGCAGATTAATATTTATTATTTTAATTTGAAGGAATTCTATGATGGTATGACCTAAAGAGGTCGATAATAACCAAGAGGCATATTTTGTATTCAAACAAATCGACATGTTGAAACATGACATTACTGTACATTCACAAATCTTTAATGCAAATACCCACAAAAATGAAAGAAAGAAGAAAAAACAACCAACCACGAATGGCCACAGGTTACCTAAAGAGTGACAGAGAGACAGAAGTGGCCTAAAAAAACAGAAGTGCTTTCACCGCAGTCATGCTCACAGCAATCACAAAAATGTGACTAAATCACCGCATGATCCCAGCCACCTCACCACCACAATTCACACAGTGAGTGAGAGCAGCTCTGTGGCCACCACTGGTTTAAAAAGAAACAACCACAAAACCTACAAAAAAAGAAGAAGAAAATAAATAGCTTAATTAATGGTGGGTAATGAGAATTAAACAAACAACATGTCAGCACCATGAAACAGTCCCTATCAGCCCAATTTCTTTGGAGCCTAAAGGTCAAAGTATACGTTGGTTTTTATGCTACGTGTACAGTGTGTGACGCAAATTTCAACACCAGAACAAGGGGGGCATATCGTTATGAAATCCCCGATGTCAGCCCTGGTTAGTCAAGCTGCAGGCCCGGTTGTACAGGGGTACTAGACAGTGCTAAATATACCCTCAAAAGAAAGCAGAAGAAATTGAAGATCTGGCAAACTATCCAACATGTTTTTGCAGCGTTGAGCAATGTAGCACATACAAAGTTTCGAAAATGACATCCGCATAATTTTTCTGGATTCTTTCTCGAAATAGCAGTGACTGAGTGATAAACAAAGCAATAGACAAGTCTAAAAATATATGTGAGAGCACCCTCAGTGATTTAATTCAGGAACCGGTCCTGGCCAAACTTACACAGACAGCGCACGTTCAGAGCGAGATCTAGTTCACGGACCAAAAGCATTGTGTAAACTTTATTTAGATACGGAGATATCAACCAGCAATTTTATTTCTAGTAACGGATGATAGAAAGTTCAGGAATGAATGGTATGTGATTTATGACAGAATATAGTCCCGCATTTGGTAACAATGATTCAAAACGGACACATTTCAAGTGAGACATGAAAAAACATGGAAAAAACTTCAAAGAACATCAGAAAAGCAGCGTGCACGTTGAGAAGTACTCAGTGCTTGAAGTGGGCCAGTATGCACCGGTACATAGTAGCCTACCAGCACATCTAAATTTTTATCTTTAGCACACTGCCACTTTTTCTTGCGTACAAGCACTTCTCGCATGTTGCCAATACTTTGCTACTCAAAGTCAAAGCGTCAGTATCACTCTCTGTGAGCAGCAAAGGCTAACCAGCATAACAAACAAGCAATCTGAAAAATCTGCAAGTATTTTTATATTTATTACTTTATTTACTTTACCAAGATGCGTTTATCGTTTCCAGCTGGTAATTTTAGCGGATTTCATCACACGCTAAGTGTGGCGCACAAATGCTATTAAATGAACCAACCCAGGTAACAGAGCTTATGACCGAGCAACTGAATATGACTGCTTTTGTACTCGTCTTAGGTTATGACTAAAAATGTTTAAATGTGTTACTAGCAGCAGAATAGTTAGTCGCTATTGAAATAAGTTCTACAGTCTGAGTAGGCCTAAGTACTAGTATCTAATAACAAGTACCTAATGAATCTAAGGAATCTAGTATCTAATGAATGAATACCAGTATCTATTAAATAAGAACTAGCATCTAATGAATGATTACTAAAATCTTTTAAAAAGGTACTACCTAAAGAACAAGCACTAGGACCTAAAGAATAATCACTAGTAACTAATGAATATGCACTAATATCTAATGGAATATATACTAGTATTTAAAAAATGAGCACTAATAGCACAAAAATAGATACTAGTACATTTTAATTTTAAGCATTAAATGTTAAAACAGGCTTGCCATAATACCTGTTGGTGTACATCATTGAGTGGGCACGGGACATCATATAAGCAGAAGAATACTGGTTCTTACTTGTATCATCATAGCTCATAGATTCATAACTTTGTGAAACTGAATGAGATTTGAAAACTAGGGAAGACTTACACCCAGCACATTTTGACAGTCACTACTCACAGTAATGAATTAAACTGACATACTGGTTAACAAGGTCTAATGGGTAGCCACAAGGTCAGGTTAGTGTAGATAGATAATAACTGTAATTTCATTTTTGGGGTTGAACAGTGAACTATACAGTTCCATATGTTCTGTTGTGTGTGTTCTGTTGTTGCATTTATTTAAGTAAATGGCAATACTTGTATCGCTATAGGCCTATTTTAGGAGGGCTTTGTTTCTGTTTAAATATATTATACTGTAAAAAATAAGTGTATTTTAACTGTAAAATTTTGTAAAAACGCTACGGAAAAAAAACTGCTAATAGGTTAACAGCAAGTTCCCGTACTATATACAGGGAAAAACTGTAAAATATCTAACCATCTAAACAGAAAAGAAAACGCTCTGACAGGATGGATTCATGTAGATAAGCTTTGTGAATCTGTGGTAAGTTAGAACAGATAGAGTGAGTGTTAGACTGGTCATAATCAAAGATTTGTAAATTAATACATTTTTATGTGAGGCTGTCTGTAAGTTACAGTGTAACAGAGGTTGCCAGCTAGCTAACTGTAATGTTAGCAGTGTCTTATAAATTGAACACTGATGATATCTAATTAACAGATAGTGTAACATAATGCACATATCTTTTTCTTTGTAAAACATGATTGAAATCACGAAAGAAATAGAAAAAGGAAGAATCTCTAGTGACATCTATGGTTCCTACAAATATCTTCCTGTGTGACATTACATTGGGGGTGTAGTGCAATGTCACAACATGAAGCATGTTAAAAAGGGCAGTTGCAACAAAGAGGAAATTTTTAGGGACATCTACTTCTTAGAAGTTAAACTACTTTTCTGAGGTAAGAAATTTAATTCTTGCACCTTTCTTTCTCACAAAAAAAAGTTTATTTTATATATAGGCTATAACGTGAAAACCAACCTGTTCATTGCAGTCTTTAAATAACAGAAAGTGAGAGCTGTGAGTTGTTTATGGGTGAGAGTTTGCAGTATTTTCTCAGCTTACTGTGAGTTCCTGTGAGTTTTTCTGTGAATCAAGTCTCAGTTCCAGTCATTTATCTCCATAAATGTTTTAGCATAATAAAGGTATTTAGTTTTTGCCACAAAGCAAAAATAATTTGGTACAACCTGTCTTCATGTATGTTTTTTATGAATAGAAGTTCATTTCATAAATGAAAATAATTGATGTCGCTCAGATGAATCGCTTTTACTGATGTAACTGTAAATGTGGTCAGCCTGATGAATTAAGTCATAAATTTTTACAGTGGATGAATAAAATAGGCAAACATGATCAATATAGTGTAACAGTGAAAATGTGGCTTATCCTTATAGATCATTCTATTACACTAGGAAACAAATAATGAGGTATGGTTGTTAAATGTCTATGACATATATGCATTTTGTGTTGTATAGTGATAAAGTGTACTCTGAAGGTGTTTTGGACTCTTTCGTTGCTATTGTAAAGTCCAATGTCATCCACTCTACGAACCCTGATGGCAGGAAACCAGATAACATCCTTTATTTTCATCAGCTCTGTGTTAGTACATACTCACTCAGGTTGGTCAATCTTTGTCATCATTATGAATAAGGATGAGTATGATTATAATGTGTATTCCCTAGTGAAAAATAAATATACTTAATTGTATTTAAAAATATATTTATTTCATGATAAGTATACTAAAATAGATTGACATGTCTATACGAACTGAAAATACACTCTAAATGTAGTTATTTCATGCTTTCATCTAGCACAAACTTAGTGCACTACAAATTCATTAGTAAAATACTATACTTTTTACAGATGCATTTGGGGAAGGATGAAATATATATTCATCTTTAAGAAAGTACACTGGCTGGGTTCTTAATTCCATCTACAACATGTTTTAAAAAAGTGATTTTCATAATGGTGTTCTCTGAGCACAAAAAAAAAACAAGCTGTGAAATTCACCAACAATCAGTTTTGCTGTACTTTTGCTAAACATCTGAACTCACTAGACTAGAGTGCACACTATTGGGAATCTGTGTTGCGCACTTAGCACATTTTTCTGAAGAAACCTTTAGTCTAGAAACTCATTCCAGCTAAAGACACAAGTCTCACCATGTATTTCAAATCTGAGAATAATTAAATTATTTTAAGATGATGCTGTGTCATTTTTTTAAACTAGACTTTCTTTTTGGGCAAATCAAAGAAAATGAGAGAAACATCTAATATGTTTCTATAGGTGCTGTAAGGGCAGAATTTCCAAACGCAACTTTTGCCTACAGCGCAAATGTAACTGAGCAATTTGCAAATAAAACAATTTTATTTGTTAAATATTGAAGTAATACTTCAGCAATTTATTTTTATTGGATCCTCTGTTGACCTGTTATGATACATTGTATTTGAGCTCTACTTGTTGAGTATAAAAATAGTATGGATAAAAATAAATGTTTTGAGTTGCAAATAATAATAATAATAATAATTCATAATCATGCAGTACTTTTTTTTATAATTATGACCTTTATCTTTTTTAATCATTTTACAACACTTAGC